AAAAAACCATGGGGTAGGATTGCAAACCTTTGATCTCTTGCGGTCGATGTTTTTGAATCTCTTCGAAAGCGACTGCAGCCTGTTGAGCCGCGATATCCCTCGCAGCACATGATGCACTTTGCAAGCAAACCAGATGTGCGTTCAACTGAACCAGTGTACGATTTCAAAACAATATGACAGAAAAAAGTGAGATTTCAGGATTTGTACAACCAACCGATCGATTGGCTTCTCGTCGCTGCTCTAGTCGAGCAAAATCATCAAGATTCGATGAACTCGCGTTATTAGGAGACAAAGCCGCCAGTGAATTTACCAGACTATCGATACGTTCAACAAGGCTATGCTGGATATCCAAGATGTTCTGCCGGTAGGTGCTGTGATAGCTGGAAGTGATATTGCTAGCACCGCTTATATCTACGGAAAGAAGGAAGATTACATGAATTTTCTTCCCAAAAAAATAAAAAGCAAGTTACGAGTTTGAAGCGTTAAAACGCAACAAATGACTGTAGCAAATTGGTTTCTGAAATGAGATAATCCTATACAGGTGTGCAAGCAAAATGCAAACCCAGATCTAGGCAAAAAACTCAGAAAACATCTAAAGTTAACAGAAAAAAAAGTACCGAAGTCTTATGTACAAGCTCTAAAGTATAATCGTGTTCAACTTATTTATCTAAGGAAGGTATGAGTAAACTATATTTTGCTTAAAAATGTTTTATAGGGTAATACCCTGTATTAAGTAAGAAGCTGCAAAGAAAAAGCAATCAAAAGCATTTGAGAAAAAATTGTTAAACATTACTCACCTCCTATCGAATGTGTCGAACATTGCGAGAGCTTGGGCGATGCGCATCGATGCCGCTTTCTGACGATGGACCGACGGCTTACAGTTGCTAGAGGACGTGCTTGGATTACTCCCATCCTGATTTTGCTTTTTGGCATTAGTTACTGCGTCTTTGCTCGGTTTTACAATGGGTTTCACTGGTTTAGGCGTTGCCGGCGTAGCAGGGACAGACGCCGGCATGAATTGGTTCGAGAGAACGCGTAGCGGCCGACGCGACAGCCTGATCCACACACTGGAAAACTAAGACATGGTTCAATTTTTTGAAAGAAAAGACGGAAGAAGGTCATGAGTGAAATGAAAAGGAATTAACAGAGCCTCCATAAAAAA